GGCACCCAGGCCTTCTCCCACCCCAGCTCTGCCAGGGCAGCTCCAGCAACACCCTCTGGCCAGGAATGTTGGCTCCAGACTGCTGGACGGTGTTAGGGAAAAGGTCTTTAAATCCACTTTTACAAACCACCTGAAGCAGCAAAACTACCCAGAACTGGTTAAAAGAACAGCCAATGTGTTCATGCATTTATTCCTAATGGTCTGCACAACCCAGTCCCAACTCAAGATTTTGTTGTTTATGGGCACAACATGTTCATTTTATGGGAACAGACCTGCTCTGTGCTGGAAGACTTCCTGCAAGCGGCTGTGGTGTTAATTTAGAAGATGGCATTCTTCCCAAACAGTCATTATTAAACCAATAACCCTATGTTACCTCCAGCATCAAGGGGCAACGTGCTGTTGGAGGCAAGACAGAACAAAGGTCCTGGCTGTAGTAATTGCAAAAGGGCTTAGGGGCTGTTCTCTTCAGGGAAGGGAGAGATGCAGCCTGGCCAAACTCCAGTGTGTGTGGTTTTAAAGATCCTCATTTGAGTTGTATTGTGTTGATGTGCAGCGTTAAAGAGCTGCCACTTCTGCACCCATGCCTGGCTGAGTTACAGGAACTATTTTCAGCATCTCTCTGCCAGAAACGACATCTCTCATGACTTTTATCATGGAATGGGTGCATGTTTGTAATCAGCTTGGAAAAATCTGTTTCTCAGCTTAATTCTAAAGCCTCATCTTTGCTACAGAAGCAACTGTACTCAGTAACACAGCTTTCCCTCCCTTTAGCAGCATGGGGAATGATTTGCAGTCCTGGGAAACTGGTCACAGCATAAGCCTGCAGGGTTTTGCAACATCAATGTTTGATGCCTTCAGTTTAAGTGCTGAACACACTGTACAAGAACAAGTGGGCAGCCTGAACTGGGAACTCTTCTGTAGTGCTAAAATTGCCAATCATTTGCAAACCCTGTAAGCTCATCAGTAGTTTGTGCAGCAATTTTATCAATTCACAGTGGGAGGCAAGGGGTTAATGCCAAGGTTAAAAACACTACAGAATTTGTCTCAATTCTTTCAATTCTGGTAATCTTAAGGATCACCTTGCATGTTCCTACAGCAAACTTGCTCAAAAAACATTTCATTTAAATGCCTTCACAAAATGTCTTTCTGAACAAACAGACCACCCAGGCTTTGCAAGGGCAGGGATATCAACCATCAGCCTAAGATGACACAGACCAGCCATAAATGCATCAACCACGGTTGCGGATAGCCTTGCCATCATTGGAGAATGCAGCTTCCTGCACTGTGTCTGTAACCAAACTGATGCTAGCTGTTCCTCAGAGCTCTTTTCAAAGGAATCCCAAACTTCAGTCCTCCCACGCTGCCTGGGACACAATGCGTCCACGCAGAAGTCTGTCTCAGTCTGTATTTCTGCAAGCAAATAGATTAATACATTTCTAATCATTTGGTTTGGCCTTAACAGAGCATCAGCATTTGCTGTCTGGCTAAGGTTCTAGCAGTGTTTCTTCAATGGGGAAGAAGATTAAGGAAACAGCTTGCCTAGAGAGGCTGGAATCTCCATCATTGTCTAACCCATTCCTACATCTTGCCAAACATCTCGCAGGAATGAGTTAAGGAACCTTATTTCTGCATGAGGCAGGGTGGCAGGCTTGAAGACATCTTGAAGTATTTTCTAGTCCTGCCTATGATAGTTTGCTGCCCTCATCAAATTGTTCTGGGATCACACATTAGAAACGCGTTGATAGAGCTCTGCCATGCAGCTAATGATGAGACTGCCTGTGCCTCCTGAATCTTTCTACATGACCTCATTTCTACAGGATTTGTTTTTCACAATCATTCATGCATTTTATCTCCATTAAAGAATCCCCAGCTTATAGACAGGAAATTTAAATCTTTTTAATGTCATTTTCCCCAGGTGAGGAGAAGGTGGTGCGAAAACAAAAGTAGGTCTAAAGTCACAGGTTCAGCCTCCCTCCTTGCTTTGGACTGAAGAGCAGTGCCATGCTCTTATGTTATCTTCAAGGCCAGTTGTTGCACATGCAATAATCCCATCACAGTGGGTGACAGCAGCCCAGATAAGCTACCCTCAAGCCCATTGCCACTGTGCCGTCAACACTGGGATGCCTCAGCAAATTCGAGGCTGTCCTGGTTTCAGCTGGGATATAGTTAACTGTCTTCCTAGTAGCTAGTACAGTGTTATGTTTTGAGTTCAGTATGTGAAGAATGTTGATAACACTGATGTTTTCAGTTGTTGCTCAGTAGTGTTTAGACTATAGTCCAGGATTTTTCAGCTTCTCATGCCCAGCCAGGGCACCTGACCCAAACTGGCCAACAGTGTATTCCATACCATGTCACGTCCCATCTAGTATAGGAACTGGGCAGTGGGGGCAGGGAATCGCTGCTCCGGGACTGGCTGGGTGTCGGTCAGCGGGTGGTGAGCAATTGCCCTGCGCATCATTTGTACATTTCAATCCTTTTATTACTACTGTTGTCATTTTATTAGTGTTATCATAATTATTATTAGTTTCTTCTTTTCTGTTCTATTAAATCGTTCTTATCTCAACCCACGAGTTTTACTTCTTTTCCTGATCTTCTCCCCCATCCCACTGGATGGGGGGGGGAGTGAGTGAGCGGCTGCGTGGTGCTTAGTTGCTGGCTGGGGTTAAACCACGACAGAAGCTTTTGTTCTCATCTTTAATGCTCTCACGAGTTCACATCCCACAGACCCAACAGAAGCCTCATTTTTCATGTTCACAATGAGCTGCAGAAGAATTGTACTCGGGACTGTCAGGTTCCTGCACAGCTCCCTGTCTTGAGAACCAAGAAGTCTGACAACCAAAAATCTGTTCCTGCAGGAAATCAGAATGATGGTCCACACCACAGCTGTAGGAGCACCTCATTTGTTTAACTGGACTTTAAGCAAATGAATCAGTCTAGCTAGCCAATTACCTTCACATAACCGTACACCACTAATTTCTGTGCGCATCCATGGAAACACAATATACAGAACAGCTATTTCTGTAAGTTTTTTTATTAAAAATACAGTCCACAAAGCAGATCCCCCATAACCAGACATGAGTTACAGTGTCTGGGCTCCCCCCTTTGCTACCAGAGAGGGCAGCTCAGGACTGCAAAGCCATTTATTTAGCAGCAGAGAGCCTTTCACGAGTGTCAGCATCCTCTCTTGACACCAAGAGGCCTCATGCCTGCTCAGAACTACCATAGCTCTGTTTGCATCACAGGAAACACCTTCCAAATGGACAATTTATTGAAAAACTAATGGATCGTCACAGAAACAGGTGACAGAGGCAGGAGCAAACAGGATGGGAAACTCCTACTTCCTCTCATTTGAATGAACACAGTAATTTTTCTTCTGGGGCCATTTATATATTCTGCAAAACTTCATTAGCCAAATAAAAACAGTGGTAGGTCATTTAGTTTATGTACATGAAAAAAAAAACAACACCCCTATCCTGAAGTACTGAATTCTAGTTAGAAACCATACCTACAGGATTTACTAAGAGCAGCAACTCATACCTCTTCCTTCTTAGATTACAGGTACCACAGAACAAGTTCAGCATAAGATACTTGAAATTCTTTACTCAAGATTTTACTACGCAAACACACTTTTCCCCCCATTAAAAAAAATAGATTAGAGGAAGATATAAACATCTTATTTATTAAATCAAATAGAAATGCAAAATATATTTCACATGCCTTACATGGAAAAGAGATGAACTTCCAAGACTTTAAAGCAAGACTGTGTCAGCTGACACGCAGGAAATCGGAACATTATAAACAGTCACAAAGAGGAGGAAGGACTGGGGGGAGGTGACATGGGGATGATGGGCAGTTCCTCCCCACTCTGAGAAAGCTCTCCTAAAAACAAGAATGGAGTTTATGCTGAGCAAGCATCACAAGCCTGAAATTAACTTTAACGTATACTTATTTTGGAGGAAGTTGTCTAAAGAAGTACAAGTGGCTAATAGCTAGTCAAAACAGTGGTCTAAATTACATATACCATATTCATAGGAAGTGGACATGGACTTATTTTTTGAACATCAGTAGGGACAGCAGGAGAATCGGAAACATCAAAAAAAGCTTTTAAAAGCTGGATCAATCCACGGCCACATTCTGTGCAACTCTGCTATTAAAATAAGAAAAAAAGATGAAAAATAGAACTACTTTTCTAAATATTTTAATTACTTTGTCATCCTCCAACTCTTCCTCCCTCCTACACAATTTCTTGGAAGCTGAAATGACAATCAACAGCAAATACAAAGCATACACCAATAGTATATTCCACAGTTTTTCTGAAGAGTCAATAGTCCAGCAATTTTAAAGTGATCTATGTGCAAAAAATAAACACATGAAAGAGTTTCTTAAAAAAAACAACAACAAAACAACAAAAAAACCCCCACTGCAGCCTTAACTTCTACTTAAAAAAATTTCTGAGGATTAGCACTAAATTTCCCAGTGGAGGACAGATCAGTAACTGCAAGTATTCTGCCAAACCTGCAACTTGGTGTTGCAGAACTGTCAACATCCCAAGTTTACTACCTGCTGGCAAGTGGAAAACAGACTGTATCCCCAAAAGGAGTGGGAAAACGACTATTCATAAGCTGGTCTTCTGATATACATAAACATATGGTGCAGGTATGTATTCAGAGACTACTACCTACAGCTGAGGACAGTCCTCCCAGCATGACTAACAGTAAATGATTAACAATAAAATGTGCAAGATTCATAAGAGCAGTATTTGAAATGTTCCTGACTGCTCAATGCCCCTAGGCCTAAACTATCCCCTCATTAATAGTGGTGTAAGTCAGGCCAGCTCTGGTGAAGTTACAGTAGAAATCGCTGTGCATGAAGATTTCTGTGTGAAAAGAACAGTCCCTTGAACTACAGACTAGTTCAGTCCTGACCACACTACAATAGGGAATTGTGTTTAAACCATGAGTAATCATGTAATCATCTCCCAGCATAGTACTTCTTTTCTGCACAAATGGAATGTAAATGGCCAAGATTTACAACTGATGATTTTGCAGATTTAATGGATTATATTTCTTTAATGGTTCTGGCAATGCAAACTCGGTTAAAAAAACAACACCAAAAAAACCAACCAAAAAAAAAAAATCCCACGCTCACTGCTGTCTGCTTTTTTCTTTATTTGATGACTTTATCTGGCACACCGGGTTTTCTAACAGTGCGTAAATGTTCAAAAACATCAAATTACTTGGGCTGGGGTGGGGGAGAAGGGTGGTCCTATGGTTAAAGTCCAGGTGTGAAAGACACACCACAATAGGTGATAAAGCTAAATCATGTTTGGGTAAATCGTAACTCTTATGTCTCAGTCATTAGTCTCGTAAACGGAGCAGACACCCCAGTTCCTAAGCAAGGGCTGTGAAACAAAACAATCACCAACTCATAAAATGCCTTGAGTTTCCCAGATGAAAACTCAGAAGAGGAGCAAAACATGAGCAGTAAAGTCACTTGGTGTTTAATGGCTTTCAAAGTCACCTTGCAAAACAGTTCAAATATCAAAACTATCCCCAACTCGAAAGCCAAGTGGCAGTATTCTCCCTTCTACTACCCACTCCTGTGTGGGACAGAGGAGCGTTATGGAAGCTGAGGGGGAGACCAGCTGTGGGAATGTGACTAGTCTTTGCCAGTGTGAAGGAGTAGCACACTGGACCACAGAAGAAATCTCACCCAACAACATGAGGCCTTGAGGATGAAGAATGAAGGCAAACACACTTGGCCTGATGCAAACACATACCTTAATGCAGGAAAATGGTGGTTCTGGTGCAGTTCAAAGCACAGCCAAACTGGTTTCACTTGCTGAGGATGGCTAAACACTAACAACACACATCAACATGTGTTTCAAGTGCTGTTAGAACCATACCGTATACAACGCTTGTCCTTGTTTCCCCCTCCCATAATGCACTAAAGTAAATCCAGACCTTGAGGAATAACTTGCATAGTAAGAAAAGGTCATCAATTTAATCATTTACTTTAAGCAGGCAAGCAAATTTGTAAACATTCAAAAGCGGCAGCATCCAAGTTACAAACAAATTAAGGAAAAAAGAATTGAGATTATTAAGGTTCTTTATCCTCTCAAAAATTTTGGAAATAATCTTTTAAAACACTGCAAACATTGAACACTCAGTTACACCTCTTCTAATCCTGCTAGTAGTCCTGCCTTCCAAGGAATTCTGCTTTCTAAAATGCATGGTCTCACAATTGCCATACTTTTTAGCATTTGCCTTTTGGAAAGTCAGCTACTGGATCATTTCACCTCAGCCTAAATCCCGTTAGCAAAGGGAATGCTTGTGTCTTGATTCAACACCTCTTTAACTTCTGAGGGCAAAGCATCAAAGAGGTGATCTTCCACCACAAGCCCGCTTTTCCTGAGAAGCTGACACTGCCCCAGAGTGGCTGGCAGACGGTCCAAGCAGTTTCCCTTCAGTTCCAGATGAGTCAGCTGCAACAGTTGACTAACTTTATCTGGGATTGAGGTAATACAGTTTTGTCCCAGACTCAAAGTCCTCAATTTAACACATTTAAACAACTGTTTTGGCAAAATGTCGACTTTGTTTCCTGTGATGTGAAAATGCTGCAGATTTTGAAGCAAACCTATTTCCCCTGGAATCAATGCGATTGAGTTGTAGCTTACATCTAAACACCTAAGTTTCTGTAAACTGAACACTGCGGCTGGTAAGGATTCGAGTTTGTTATTGGAGAGATAAAGAGACTCCAAATTCTTTATGTGGGTAATGGAGGAAGGAATGTTGACTATTTTATTGTGCCACAGCTTTAAACAAGTCAATCTTTTTAAGTGCTGGAAACTGATGATTTCTTCAATTGTGCGTATGCTATTTGACTTTAAATCCAGTTCCTGTAAGTTAGAGAGGCTGAAGATGGCATGGGGAATTCTCTCCAGTTCACAGTTCTGCAGCTCCAACTCTGCAACATTAGTCATTTTCTTAAGGCTATTGAGTACCACAAGCTTAGTGCCATCATTATGAATGACTAGTTTTGTCAGATGTGGTGCCACATCTGTGATATTGGGGGGAATTTTGGTCAAATTGCTCTTCACGTGGAGAATTTTAAGGTGTCTCAACTCTCTGAGAGATTCAAGCCCTATCATTTTATTGTTTTCAGAGTTCAAATTGCCTATCAAGTACAATTCACGGAGGTTTTTAAGCAAATACACCCACGCAGGAATTTCTGCAACATCTGTGAATTTCACATGAAGGCATCTCAAGTGGTCCCGGAGGAAGCTGAAGGCAGTCTGCTCGACCTTCGCAGGGCAGTGGCACAGATGAAGCTCCTGAAGATTTGTCATCTGGGAAATTTTTGCAGGGATTTTTGCTTCAGGAATCAGCTCCAGTTTCAACACATCCAGGTCTGTCAGATCAAACACTGCATCGGGGACCCCTGATAGCATGAAGAGATGCAACTCTTGCTTGTCCTGGGCATTGCGGGAAACATGTTGTCGCAGCTTTTCAAAAGTCCATTCATGGTTTAAACTAATTTCCCGTAGTTTGTTCTCACTTACCTCTGACAAGAAGACACCAAATCGCTTAGAATACAGCTGGTCATACTGATCTACCATATGCAAGAGAAATGCAAAATCATTTTTGACATCAGGGATATCACTGAAGCTACTCTCTTCTCTGACCTTTTCAAAAGAATATTCTTTTAAAGGTATTCGGAACAGCCAGAAAAGTGTGTAGAGGCAGATAAAGCCATAGACACAAATGAGGGAAATATAGCTGATAAGCAGCTTCTTCAACATGTAAGCCATGTTGTGTGTACATTCAAACTGTGTGTAGCCAATCAGGTGTTCCACTTTTGGGTTGCAGATGTGTTCAAAACTAATGGTGTTGACAAAGTTTGCAGTATAGCAGAGAATAAATATGAATTTGACAGTCTTGATGACAGTCTGGCCTACATAGAGCTTGTAAATCAGATCACTGTCCTCCACATGAGCCCGGAACTTACGGACTTTCTCAAACAGCGCTTTGGCTTGTTCTCCGTCTTTCTTATCTAAAATAGTGACGCTGGGAACCTCGATCATTGGCTTGTCAGCTGAAAATTTGAAGCCAGACTTTGTTATCATGGGAGTGCTGGCACTTGGGCTTCCTTCATCACTGCTAGTGGAAACATACTTGGGCAGGGACTGGGCACCAGTTAACCTCTGTTTGTTCTCCTCTGAGTCCTCACATGCAGTTTCAGACAATGCTTTTGTAGTCCAAGGGGACTCAAAGCACTTCCCTAATATAGACACAAAATGCTCAATTTTTGAGCAAGTCTTGGGGTACTTGAACCAAAAATTGCTACTGACTATTAAAATGATAGTATGGATGAGAACAAGATAGGGAAAATACTTTGAATACCAAGGAAGAGCCAAATGATAGCACATCTGGTTAATAAATACGTATTGCTGAAAATCCAAATTTGTTTTACGGCCTGAAGAATCTTTCTGCTCCTTCTTCACCTCCTGGCCTGATTCAGTGGGTTGATACTGAGAAGAGGTAGCTCTGCTCAGGGGTACATCAGGTGTTACAGTAGGGGCACTTCCGAAGGAAACCGTTCTCATTGATGCTTCTTCTCCTTGACCAGTGGTTGTTTCAACAGTTGTAAAGTCAGCCTTCCCTGACGTGCCGGGTTGTGCTTTTGAATTTACAGTAGACTGCAAAACTGGCAAGCAGACCACCTGGTCTTTGGTCAGCTGCATGGTTCCAGCAAAAATGGCAACCATTAACATAACAACAGCTAGATAATCCATAAATACATCCCACCATGGTTTCAAGATACGGTAAGTTGGCTGGATGTCATTGAGCGATGCAACTTCTGCAAGGGTAAACATTCCTACAAGAGAAAAAAGACAAAATCAGTATTGTTGACTGATGAGCAGGTTATTTTACCATTTAATAACAATCACACCATGACATACAGATCCTCAGAAGGTTCCAGTTTTCATTATGTTTTGTTGCCTGTCACACGTTGTCCATCATTCCACTCAACATTGTTTTCTCAAAGGGTATGTACTGAAATGATGCATTACTTCAGCATCAAAACAGAAGTCTTCTCACTTCAGGCCAGATGATATTTACATATCTTTGCCACTTCACAGTACAAGCATCAAGGCCTGCTCTGTGCAACTGAATATCTGAAAGGTAAAGTGCTGTAGCTGATATGTATTAATAATATGAAGAGCAACAACTGATTACACTGCACAAAATCTGACTCTAAAAATGACTGCTTGAGTCTGAACACATGAAATCCAGCACTAGCATTATTTTGTAGTACCTTGCATTTAAACAAAATAGCATTTGTTAAATGCTCTGCACCTTGCTCATGACTTGCACAGCACATTTTAGGTCTCTTGTTACATTATGAGCAAGGTCTCTCATTTCTTTTCATCTAACACAATAACAGTCAATGTCTCCCACTCCTTGCTATTGAGCATCCACATTGCTTACCAAATTGATTGGCTCCTTTCCTTTAAGTACCACTGCACAAGTGAAAGTCTTGCAGTTACTACATGAATATTTGGCACAATTTTTTTTAATGCGTTTGGATGTTTTATAGTGAGAAAAAGTTATCACCTATTCATTGGAAAAAATGGTACTGTAAAATTTTTTTTCCCCAATTAATGAAGAAATAATCCTTCCTCAGAAAAACCCGACCCAGCTAACCAAGAAAAAAAACCCCCACAGCTCTTCTTAACATAATGGGGAAAATATTTTTTTCAGATTATCATCACAGTCTGGTGATCATAGGAAGCAGGTTAGTCCAGGTAGCACAGGAGCAGGCTGCAAGGCTTTCACTTTAATTTAAACATATGCACTGTGAGACAAAAGTGGCAAACTGATCGTGTGAGAATCCAAGTCTCTTTGCAGCTTTAAATAGCTTGCTTTGCTTTTTGTTTTGACAAAATCTGGAGGACTCAACTTATCAGCTTTTTAAAAAATAAGCTTCCTGTGCAAGCAGGATGTGGTAAAATCATCATTTTAACTGCTGAACTTGTGACCCAAATTTGCCATTTCTAAAGTAAAATATGCAGCTTGTGTGCACACATGGAGTGGGCAAGGAGACAGGATGAATATTATCACACAGAGTCTGGCTCCTTTTGGTTGGGAGAAGAACAGCTTAGCAGAGCACAAGGAGATCAAAGCAGGCAGTATAAAGATGCATCAGATTGATTATTTTTAACTTATAGCATACCAATTTGTACAGACCTGCACCTTACAAACCCTAAAGGACAGTGTCACAGGCAATGAATATACAACACGATCATTTGATTATTTCTAGGCTCCATTTCTCTGAAGAAGATAACAGACATTTGTACATGCGGAACTCAAATATCTGCTACTGCCTATATGGTCAAAGGCATGCATTAGCCCCTCTCCTTTCCCGCACGAGCACAAGCAGCTCCCATGGTCTCGGTCTACGGGAAAGGCCAGAGGTTGCCGTCACAGAGCCCGGCATGGAGCTCACGATGAAAGCATGTCCTTCACCACAGGGAGGGATCCAGCCCCTGGCCTCCCACGCTCTCCTCCCAGGAGCTTTTACCAGTTTTGCATACCTAGCCTGGGATTTGGTGAAGGCAGCCAGAGAGGAGAGGGTTTTATCTCACTGCAGGGCTCCTCTCGGTGCTCTCGGCACAGTTGCCAAAATGTAAAAGTTAAGGCGCAGTTCCTCAGGGAATGGTCAGAAGGAACTTCCAGCTCTCTCTCTATTTTCCAGTGGGCAAATGAATGTCAAATACTCCTCCCTCATCAGTAACACAAGTTGTCGGTCGGGGCCTTACAGTTCTCCCAGCTGCACAAGAGCCTCCTCCCAGCAGCATGTGGTTCCTCAGCCTTTCCCCACACACCTCCCCAGGGCTGTAGTTGCTGTAGGAGGTGCTGAAGGACACAGACCAGTAACACACCCCACAGCTATCAAAGCCCCACAGTGCTTTACTTGAAGTTGGCTACAAACTCCCATTTTCTTTAATGTCTCCCGGTGCTTACCTAGACTGAGTCACAGCATGACTGCTTGCCCTAGAATTGCTACCTTTGACATTTAAATAACAACTGTGTGCAAAAGAAGAGCATTAGTCATTTGTACTAATGTGAACAGATAGATATAAAAGGACCCTCCTTACTCCTAAGTCACAGCTGCCACCTGCCCAGGACAGGAGAACCACAGAACAGCAGCAGAGGTGGTTTTTTTTTTTTTTTCCCCCCCTGCACGGATTTTTACCTTTCTTGGAAGCTGTTTGGAAGGGATGCTCTCAGATCTCCAGGCTGTTTTCACTGTGGTCTCACCCACCTTGGCAGCCACAAGAACTTCTCGTCCACTAGGTTACTAGTGCAATAGTTCAACAGGAGAGCAGAGCGCCAAACGCTTCGCAAGGACAAGTCACACACGCTTACTACAGCCATGCCTCTGCACATAGAGCTATGCAATGTGCAGGGAGAAGGAGGCAAGCAGGGTGGGAAGGAGGAATGAGATGACTGCTGTAACAAACGTGGGTAGCTGCTACTGCTTGTTCCTCTGGGGCTAGCCTTTCCCTCAACTTTGCACTAGCTAATTACATGGGAAGTTACTTCATTGCGGTTTGGGGCACAACCTGCAGGATTCCTTTCACAGAATGAATGTGATTTTTTTGCTTCTGCCATGAGAACACGTGGATAAAGCACTGAAACCCAAGCGCTGCAGACGTGGCTGCTCTAAGCTACTGAAATAATGGAAAAGAAATGAGAGAGCACAAAGTGATTCCAGCTAGACTTAGTAAGAACAATTAAAAAAAGCTAAAGCTAAAAATCACCTCTACCAGACCTCTGTCTTGCACACACACAAAATTATTTTAAAAAAGGAGACACAATAGAGCCTGTGTAATCCTCTTTGTGAGGCTGTAGGCAGCGTGGTGTAACAGGAGCTTTACACCAAAAAGTACCACATTCAATGCTCTGAACATGTCTTTTCTTTCAAGTTACTGATACTCACAGAAGAGCTGCTGTTTTGGCAGAGATTAGCAGTTATAAAACACAAAAAATCCCTCTGTGGCATTACTGTCTAACACTGTGTCTCATAAAAGAGAGGCAGACCTTTTTCTAGCTAGCAAAAATCAATGCCAGGAGCTGAAAACAGGTTTCTGTCCTCAGATGTCTAAAGTATTTAAATGCTCCGAGTCTTAAAAAACAAAATGAAAATTGTAAACCTACACACAGTATAAGACACTTTCTGACAGGCTGCAAATATATTTGATATTTTCTCTCTGAAATCCATCATTACATGTCTTGGTGTTTGATTTTACTAAACTAATAACCATAGAAGTTAACTTTTATTTTATTTTTGCAGATGGTTAGAAATCAAACTATTAAGAGGTACGCAGAACAACAGGTCTCTACAGCATTGTAATGATTTTGCGTTTTCTTTATTCCACAGTTAAATTTAAACTATTTAAAGCTTTTAAAACCTACTGTCCAGAATATTCCTTGGAGTAGGCAGATAATATCTTCATTACTAATTTTCACCTCCTTTTAAGGGTGCCAGATTGGGATTGGGGTTTCATGATAAACTGCAGTGATGACACGGTAGTAAGGAAAAGGAAAAAAGGAAAAATAAAAAAAAGAAAGAAAGATTAAAAAAAAAAAACCAAAATGTAAATACCAGTCTGTGTCTGGCAGGCAGAGCCTGCAACTCCCTGCCATAGGTGGTCTCCCCTCAAGACCAGTGCATGCTCTATTCACAACCCCAATGCAAAGAAAGTCTGTAAGCAGGTGGCTCAAACTGAAGAACAAAGTACTATGCAGCTGAAAAGCCAAAACATCTAATTTCTCATGACAAAAACATACATTTCTTTCAGCCCTTTTCAGGGCTTGCAAGGCACCGAATAGACCTTGAGGCTCAGCAGAACATGGGGTTTTTACACACTGAGATCTAGACCCAAACTAGAAAACTGTGATTCTTGAAGAGGAATTTTTAATTCCCAATATGGAATTTCAGGACACAGTCTCCTTTTTAAAATAGCATATTTTAGTTTAGTTTTAATAAACACAGATTTTAATTCAAGCTTATTCCAGCATGATCTTTAGGGCTGCACAAAATAACGAAGACCTTTAATTTTCGCAAACAATCCTTTTTCTTCCCAAACCCTTTGTCTCCAGTTCTGTAACTCAGATGATGCTCTAGGATAACATTAGCCTCTCCCAGCTCCATCCACTACCTCCAGCTATCTACTGGGTGCATTCTCTCCTGGAAAAAAAACCAAACAAAAAACCCTTTAACCTAAAATGCAACTGTTCTAAGCGCAACTGTTTCCTGCTACCTTCTCAGATTTTTAGGGGGAAAGTTCTGAAAGCAGTGTAGTACTACCTCCCTCTGCCTTGGTAATGTGATATGGAGTTCTAGAAATAAAACCACTGTTTATTTTGCAGTTATGTAAGTTACAGTGAAAACAGAATATAGAAAGAAGAAAATTGACAATGACAATACAATTGTTCTAAGTTACAGGCCCATGTTAAATCAGCAAGGATAACAGCTACTTTCATAAATCATACTTACCTGATTATAATCTTTTCATTAGTCTTACAGAAAGAGCTCAGAATGTGATTAACCTGGTGAATTTTTCTGACATTTTTCAGACTATAAATGCTGAAATACAAAGTGAACGTATTGGGCTTATTTCCTAAGAAACTAGCTTAAATACAGAAGTTAGAGGAAAAGGAAGCAGCAGATTGGTATGTCACTAATGTTTATTTACATCCTACTTCTTCCTGTACTTACTGATAAAAAATTCATCTGTCTGCCCCTGTAATTCACTGGCCCTTCTGTTTTAAAAGCATATTTAAAGTTAAAGCAAATTCAAAGTTAGA